TAGGAAGCTTAAGCCTCATGAGCTTAATTATCCAACACATGACTTGGAGTTGGTAGCTGTGGTCTTTGCCTTACGTATTTGGAGGCATTATTTGTTGGGCAAGTCCTTCAGATTATTCAGCGATCACAAGAGTCTGCAATATTTGTTCACTCAGCGAGAGTTAAATATGAGATAGTGCAAATGATTGGAGTTTGTGAAAGACTATCACTTCTCTATACAGTACCATCCAGGGAAAGCGAATGTGTGGGCGGATGCACTCAGTTAACGACCTGTTGGTAGTCTTTCTGATTTATTCACCACTAAGTGGAATACTTTAAGGAATGTGGATGAGTTGTCGGATGCTTTTATGGCTTGCATGGTAGTTACACCTTCTATCATTCACAAAGTTTTGAAAACACAACTCACGGATCAGCAATGCATTGACAAAGTTGCAGAGATAACTTCCGGAGAGGTTCCATTTTACCATGTTGGGACTGACAGAGGTTTGAGGTACAAGAAACGTTTAATGGTACCTTCTGCTGATGATTTGAGGAAGGATGTGATGACTGAGACTCATCATTCTGAGTTTTCTGTTCATCCAGGCAAAGACAAAATGTATCAGGATATGAAGCGGCAGTTTTGGTGGGCAGGTATGAAGAGAGATATTGCTCTTTTTGTTTCTCAGTGTAGTACTTTTTAGATGGTTAAAATTAATCATCAGAGGCCGTCAGGAGCTCTACAGCCACTACCGATACCGGAATGAAAATAGGAAAGCATTTCTATGGATTTTGTGGAGGAATTTCCCAATTCTTTCAAGGGTCATAATTCCATTTGGGTCACCGTGGACAGATTGACGAAATCAGCTCACTTCTTGCCTATTCGCATTGACTTCACTTCGGAGCAGTTGGCGAGACTTTACATTTCAGAGATTGTAAAGTTGCATGGTATTCCATTGTCTATTATATCGGATAGGGATTCGAGCTTTTTGTCAGGATTTTGGAAGAGTTTTCAGCAGGTTTTGGGTACAGAATTACATCTTAGCACTTCTTATCATCCTCAGACAGATGGACAAATGGAGAGGATGAATTAGATCATGGAAGATATGCTTCGCTCCTGTGTTCTTGATTTTAAGGGCCACTGGGAGGATTATTTGCCACTTGTGGAGTTTACTTATAACAATAGTTTCCAAAAGACTATTGGTATGGCACCATTTGAGGCATTGTACGATTGACCGTGTCTATCGCCTGTTTATTGGATGGAAGTTGGAGAGAACAGATTCTTGGGTCCTGAGTTCATCAAGGATACTTCTGAGAAGATCGCTCTTATTAAAGATCGCATGCGCACTGCTCAGAGTCGGCAGAAGAGCTATGCTGATCGTCGCATACGTGCTTTGGAGTTTCGGGTTGGGGATCAATAACTACTCAAAGTGTTGCCTATGAAGGGTGTAATGCGCTTTGGGAAGAAAGGGAAGTTGTCACCGCAGTTTGTCGGTCCATTCATGATTACGGATCGAGTTAGAGCTGTCGCTTATCGGTTGGCACTTCCAGATAATTTGGATCGCGTCCATAATGTGTTCCATGTTTCTATGTTGCGGAAATTTCTGCGAGATGAGGATCGGTATCAACATATCGATGTAGGGGAGATTGAGTTGCAGTCGGATGCAGCGTATTTGAAGCCACCGTGTCGTATCATTGACCGTAGGGATCAAATCCTTCGTAATAAGGTTATCCCTTTGGTGCGTGTTCAGTGGAGTCATCACAATGAGGCTGAGTCCACTTGAGAACGGGAAGATGTCATTCACTCGCAATTTCCTAAGTTATGGGAAGAAGGTAAGATCGAATTCCGAGGACGGAATTCCTTTTGTTAGGGGGTAAGAATGTAATACCCCTAATTTTAAAAGGACAGTCTTGGCATTTAATTTAATTCTTTAAGTGCGTTTTTACTAAATTATTTGTTTAATTGTTTATTTGTTTATTTTTCATTGAATTGTGTGTTTTATTTATTTGTTTTATTTATTTTATTTAACTGACATTTTGTTTAATTAATTTGTGACTGGTTTAAGTATGTGGCTATTTAAATAAATTGTTTTTTAAATTAATTGTTGTCCGTGTTTTGGTTGCTATGTATATTACATGTAGGGTTTTATTTTAGTTTTAATTAATCATATAAGGGATTTAGCCGACTTAGGGTTGGTTTTGTATTAGAATTAGGGTTGTGCTGAAGTCTATAAATACAGTATTATACGTTGGTTTAGGGTTACAAACAAAACCCTATTCACTATGGTGAGACGGAGAGAACTTTGAGAGATTTCTAGAGCGGTTCAAGGATAACTGGATGGAGTGCTTCTGGGTTGAACCAAGAGCACTAAAGGTGTAGAACAGGAGTCTCGGACATGGACGGAAGCTTCAAAGACGGTGGTTTAGAGTTTCAAAACTGAAACGCAAGGCAAGTCTCTATTCTATTCCTTCCCTTTAATTCGTGTTCTGTGCATGCCTAGTTAGACTCCAGGGATTAATCAAGCATGAAAACAGATTAAATTGAAGTTAATATTAATCTTAAAAGCATGTTTGAATCAACTGTTAAATCGTTGCATTAATCTGTTTTGTGTTGGAAGTTGTTATCGTTTAAGAATCTGTTTGCATTGGTTTTAATCTTGCTTAACCTTGGCATATTTAGGATTGGATGCATGCTTATAATTAATTCTAGGACATCAATTGAACCCTAAAATAAGTTATAAAAACTGTACAGTGGCTCTGAACTTCGCTGGAGGCGAAGAAGATGAACATATTAAGGGATACGGCTCTCAAAGGAGGAGAGCCGGCTCACCAAAAGAGGGAGTCGGCTCTAGGGCTTGTAGAGCCGGCACTACAAGGGGTAGAGCTGGCTCCACATGAGGTGGAGGCGGCTCCACCAAGGGGAGAGCCGGCTCCTTTGTTTTAGGAGGCGGCTCTACCCTCTTCTCTTCAGTTTTTCGAGTTCTAGGTTTGGTTTGGACTGTGGGAGTTGTTTCTAAATGGTTCTAGTGGCTGTGAATGAGATTTATATCTGTTACAAACTTGTAAATACTCTTGGGAAGCATGTGGATGTTAATATGTTGACGCAGGAAATAATATAAGGTTAAACAATAAACCTATACGTGGAAGGTTAGATTATACATTGAAATTGCTTATTGTTTTTCTAAAGCAATTTGGTTTATTTGCATGATTTTAAACTGTTAATCATGTCTCAACTATGTTATAAGTATATAGTTATTTATCTGGAAAAATAAGTATGCTTAAATGGAAATTAATTGATGTTTTAAAGTCGACTGTATATTGCATCAGTTATGGTACTGTTTGGAGGAGTTGTATACGTAGTCCTACTTTGTAAATTTAAAAGACTGGAATAGGATTTCTAAATCTTATATTGGATGTATAATTTTATCATACACATATTAAACTGGATTTATGCTAATTCTGGAGTATGGTTGATAAGTATCTATTACTGTTTTGTCAACTTTGTTAATTGGAGGATTGTATGTACCAGTGTGGGACGGTGACATACTAGGTATGGACTAGTTCAAACACTAAGTCTTACCTAATTTGGATTAAGGTACGGATTAACAATATAGGTTAAGTCCATCACCTACTTGTGTCATGTCGACAAAATAGTTGAATGACTTAATGTGGTTTCAGGACGGATGATTATACATATATCAGACCACTACATAGATGGATGGTATTTTGTATTAGGAGGAGTACGGACTTTATATATTTAGTTTATGGTGCCATGGTATGAGCCTGAGTCTGAGGACCATAGTTAGGGCGCGTATATCGCCTAGGATGGATAATTGGACATGGGTGTTATTCCCTGGTAGGTCTAGGTACACATGACCACTTTATGTGCGATTTGCATGGTATCTCTACTTAGGCTGAGACAAACCTACTGGACTAGCGAGCGTCCTATAGTGTGTACTATATATACATATGAACTACTCTAGATATTGTTGAGCTCTCTAGGATGTATCTGCGTATCGGATTACTGTATGGATTGTAGTATAATAGGACTTGCATGTGGGCCCGACCCACTCTCTTATTTTTCAAGTATTCGTCAGTTTCAGGGTTAGAGCTTAGACATGCAGTGCAGATACAGACATTCATTCCTCCGACTATGTAGGAATCCTTTCTATGTTTAACTTTAGATTCTATTTATGATGTTTTATTTTCTGTTGGGATTTTTAATAAGGGGTCCACTGGATGGATTCCCAAGTTCACTACAACAAATTAGGGTTCTTGCCACAAGACACTTCGTGGCAAAAACCTTCAAATTTCGTAGCTAAAGTCTTTTAACCACAAGAAATAGCTCGTGGCTCAGTCGTGGCTCAGTCGTGGGCATAGCCCCGTCACAGATTGCAAATAACCACGACTAAAAATTTTCGTGGCAAAATGTGGAACTTTTACCACAAAATTTGAACTCGTGGTAAAATACCTCCTATCGCCACAAACTATTTCGTAGTTAAATAACAATACTTTCGTGACAATTAGCAATCTTGATATAGGAATTAATCGTGACTAATTCAATACTTTTGCAACGAAAATATATATTGTGACTAATTTAACCATTTTCTCACGAAGTTCATTCGTGACTATAAATCTAATTGTCCACAAATATACGTCGTGACAAATATCCAAAAAGGCCACGAAATATACGCCGTGGCATGTATCCAAAAAGGCCACGGAGTTTATCCATGGCTATTCTATTATTAATAAAATAAAAATTAATTTAATAGCCAAAAATATATATTATGGTAAATACAAAAAATATGCCACATATTTATTGTGGCACGATAAGAATTTGAAACAAACCTGTAAATTATTAACATTATAAACATAAGAAATAATATCAAAAAAAAAAAAATTATCACATCAACACGATTATGCAAATAAATAAATACTTAATATTGCATAAATTACACCAACAAAAAAGTATATTATTTACAGCATACATAATAAAGCCTATCGCGTAAAAAAAAAAATGAGTCTTCGCAACTAAAACAATTTCAACTCCAATAATTTGGACCAAAACAAGCTAGTATCTTAAATAAAATGTTTCCAGATCTTAGACAAAAATGTGCTATAGATTCCTAAACAAAGGGTTTAAAGACTTGGACATACACTACTTAAACCATCTTAAACAAAAAGAGCTTGAAGTCTTGTAGCATGAGCCCATCCAAAAATCTGCAAAACAAACAACGAATAAATACAATTAGTGCATATGTCAAAAAAAAATTGAATCCAAGAAAAAGTATAAATAGAGAATAAGAATATCAATTCCTCTTCTAGATGATAAGGAAAAGTACAAAATAGAAAAGACAAAATACTACTATTAAGATTTGTCACTAAAAAGCTAAGCTTTGAAAAATCAACATCCGTTAAGAATATCTACTTTCTGAAACAAAATTGATCATCATACCTTTTTTTAAGCTCGTCACTGCTAACTAACTTGAAATTTGTATTAGGTAGAGAATTAGACCATGAGTTTTAATAACTCAAATCACATAACCAGAATTTTACTATAAACTATTGGGCAATATATTACACCAAGCTAGAAGTTACTAATTTTATTTTTAATCAATCGACTAGTTAGTTTTACATAATTTTTAATGTTAACTTTTTTTAATTTACTTTGGCTAAATAATTAATTTTTTAGACAATCAAAATTAACCAAACAAGAAGAGTTTAACCATTCCGTAAAACCATAGACAAGATCAATTCTGACATGGATACCTATAATTGCGATTTAGAAGGGGGAAAAAAATCACTAAAATTTCATGTAAAAAAAAAAAAAAAAAAACCCTGCTTGAAAAGGATAAAACCTTAGCACACCAAGAAAATATTGGATTTGACTGTTAGTCACTATTTTCATTTGATAATGATAAGAAAAACCTACTCAAAAAAAGATAAAAACCTTTAACAATTCATAAGTCAACTCAAAAAAAGATAGTGTCCCTTATGTGGTTTTACAAACCAATTTTAACAAAGAATGTCTTTATAAGTTGAGTATCTCATTGATTATTCAATCATAATTTCCATCCCTTCGTCGATCATATTACCATTAATTTAACCAATATTTTTATTTCCAATTATTGTCTAGACCAAACGTCACGAAGTTAGATGCAGACAACCATTAAGTTATTGACACAATTTTACTAAGTACGTAGAATCATTATGATCATAATGTTCACTGAGAAACCAAAGTACGTATTATTTGATACAATTATTAGAATAAAAAGGAAGAACAAAAAATTACCACATTACTTTCTGAGGAACAAGGGCTGCTAATAACCTTTGAAAAATAACTAAGAAAGTAGCGTGATTGACAATAACCCATTTTGATCTAGTTGTGTTATCCTCCCACTTTACCTGCAATGGAAAGGCAAATTTTTTATATAAAAACATTAGAGACTTCTCAACCAAAATAGCACTCTAATAACTTGTAAACAAATCCAAACCAGCTTGAAATTGGACAAATTTTAGTTTGGCTGGCAAGATCATTTAGAATTGCCACCCTTAGCTGCAAGTTCTAACTAATATATCAAAGAGAACTTAAAGGTATGAGAGGCATATTTTCACAAGAACAATTGCTTACCTGAAATCTTACCAGGCATCAATTTGTTAGGTAGATGTAAAGAAGAAAAATATATGGGCCTTATCCAAATAGACATGGCATAGCCATCATATCCTCACATTTATGGTATTTCCATGGTACTTGATTCCTAAATGAGACTTTTAGATGTCTACAACTTTAACTCAATTTGAATACAAATTACAAGTGTACTTGATTTCAGGTGCTGCAATGGAGTTGGTTAAGATTATAAATAATAGAACACAATAAAAAATAAAAATAAAAAAGAACCATAGGGTAAAAGACTCCACAAAGGTCTTTGGAATGACAGTTAAACTTGAGATATCTACCCACAAGATAACTAATAATGATTTTTTTCCCCAACCAAAAGAGATGTACCTTTGTTTCTGAATTCTTCTCGTCAAGTTCCCTCATGCCCTTACGTGATCTCAATGTATGGCAGATGTTTTCGAGTCAATCAACTAGAAATTGCTACCAAAAAAAACGAAACTGATAGAATGAAATGTGATTCTAAAGCCACAAGCTTGGATTTTTCCAATTGAAACACTTCCATTGCACAATTAAGACTACACTATGTATGCGCACAAGAAACTTTCACCTAAAGAATTCTAATCTTCAATCTATCTTCAATTATGGAAATCAAATTAAAAGAATACAAATACATGATATTCAACGAAAATAAAAATAAAAAATACAGATTATTAGACGATATTTGAAGAAAATATGAAGGAAAAAAAAAATCAACAAATATAAGATACTTGTCCTGCTAGAATGCTCGTGAAGTAAAAGTTGAATAGTTTGCTTCATCCACCAATAACAAACCCTAGATTACATTCAAAATAAGAGAAAAATTACGTCAAATGTTTTTAAGAAAATTGAACAAATATTAAAAAAAATAGAAATGAAATTGATTGAAATTTAAAAACCTGATATGCTTAGGCTTGAATGGATTTCAATGAAACTCTATTGCTCGCTTATAGATTTTAGAGAGGTAGAATCCTTCTCCATATTAGTTGCTGGTGCATCTCCTCCTCCTCCTGACCCCAACCAATGCCAAAATTTCTCTACAAAATTTCCCTTAAATTAATAAACCCTAAACAACTTATTGAACGTCAAAATCCGAATCAAATCCCCAATACAGAGTGAGAGTTCCTACCAGTGATAGAGAGATAGAGTGGAAGATTGAATAAAATCCCCAATACAGAGTAAGAGCTCCTACAAGTGATAGAGAGATCGAGTGGAAGATTGAATCAAATCCCTAATACAGAGTGAGAGCTCTTTCCGGTGACGGAGAGATCGACTCGAAGATTGAATCCAATCCCCAATACAGAGTGAGAGCTCCTACCAGTGATAAAGAGATCCAGTGGAAGATTGAAGAACAAATCGATTAGATGTGGTATTCTCTCCTATGGAAGAGAGTTTGCTGACAGTAGTGGCGAAGGGAGAATGAGAAAGGGAGAATGAGAAACCGTATGTTTCGTTTAGCATCCCAATAGGGTTTTCCTTTTCAATTGGCGAAATTCCAGGCGTGAAACTTTGGCGCTTTTAAAGTTGAAAAAAATAAAATTAATACGGAATATAAAATTTTAATTATAAAAATTTTTAGTACAACATAGTTTAATTATTTAAATAGCTTAAAAATTATCTAAATATTTTATAAAATGCTCTTCAAAAACTTGAACTAAATATTTACAATTCAAATTTTAAATTAATTTTATTTTTTCATTTTAAAAAGGCCAAAGTTTCATATTATCATAAAAATCAATCTAATTTTCATGTATTTAAGTAAATAATTTTAATAAAAAATTATTAATAACTCTAATCATACATAATTTTATTTTTGATATTTGGTTTCTAATAATTTTAAAAAATTAGTCATAACTGTAAATCATAATAGATCAATAACATAAAATAGTAAAAGATAAAAATAAAACTTATTAAGTAACTAAGTGCATAAAATAATTTTAACTACTTTTTTGACTTTAGGTATGAAGCTTTAATACATTTATTTATTTATTTGCTTGGACAAGGTAGCTCTAGCGGACTTTTTATCACAATATAAGTTTAACAATGGAGTGATATTAGTGGTGATAATTTAAACCTACTATTTATGAATGTTGAATTGTGAATAGCTAAAAAAATGGAGTATGAGATAAATATTAGAAAAGTAAATCGAATTAGAGAAGAATATTGATAAGAAACGAAGAAAATTAATAGGAAACTTTTAGAGAATGGAATTCGAAGTTTCGGTTAAAGGAATTCTCTTAATTTATTATAATTAAGTATCTTTGTATGGTAATAGTATAGAATTATTTTAATTAGACTTTGCTTATTGATATTTTATTTAAATTATTTTTTAAAATTAATTATAAATTAATGATTTGAAATTCTCTAACCCCTATACTTTTAAAAATAGTATATATATATATATATAGATATCGAAATCTGTTTATTAAAAAAACTCATATAAATATATTCTTGTCTAATAAATAGATAAATAGGTAATTTGTGTTAGAGTGGTAATTTGTGGTACAGTTTTATAGAAATAGGTAATTTGTGATAGAGTTTTATAGAAATTATTATATTTTCTTTAAATATATTCTTGTCTAATAAATAGATAAATAGGTAATTTGTGCTAAAGTTTTATAGAAACTCTTTTTTAAAAAAAAATTACATCAATTAATAAATATATTTTTTTGTGATAGAGTTTTATAGAAATTATTTTACTTTCTTTAAATATATCCTTGTCTAATTAGATATCCTTTTATTAAAAATAATAATAATAATAATAAATAGATGAATATAGGTTATATGTGATAAAGTTTTATAGAAAATAAAATAGGTAATTTGTGGTACAGTTTTATAAAAATAGGTAATTTGTGGTACAGTTTTATAAAAATAGGTAATTTGTGGTACAGTTTTATAAAAATTATTTTATTTTCTTTAAATATATCATTTTTTAATTAGATTTCTTTTCAATAAAAAAACTCATAATAAATAGATAAAAAGGTAATTTGTCTTAGAGTTTTATAGAAACTATTTTAAAAAATCTTTTTATATCAATTAATAAATATTTTTTTATATTAATAAATAAAAATGGATAAATAAAAAAATTAATTATTTAAGTATTTTTAGTTAAATATAATAAAGAGAGAATGAGAAATTAGCATCCCAATAATGAAACCACTTTTTGTTGTTTTCCTTCTCAATATTTTTTGTGATTTTTAAAATAATGAAATCACTTTTTGTTGTTTTCCTTCTGAATATATTTCGTGATTTTTAATATATATATATATATATATATATATATATATATATATATATATATATATAAACCTAATTGGAAGTATTTTTAGTCCAATTTTTTGAAAAATATTTTAAGCTATTTAAATAATTAAACTATTTTGTTAAATAGTGTGATATGAACTATAAATATCATATAAATCAAATTTAAGTAAATTAATTTAAATAAAAAATAATTATAAACTCTAAATATACATAATCTTATTTTTAATATATTTAATTTTCAAAAATTAGAATGCATATATGATGTGTAATTTGATAGAAAATATAAATTTTTGGAAAAGACAAACATCTAAAAAAATAAAAATAAAAATCATGTTTAAAATTATTTGAAGTATCAATAAGTGTGTTTATACTATACACACTAATTGATAAATGATTTAAGAATACATCAAACATAAGTAATGAAATACATAATAAGAATTAATCAATAGATAAATAGATAATATTTTACTAATAGACTCATAGCCTTATACACAAAAATATCACACTATGTTTTTACAATATACCTAAAAGTCATCCTCTAGATGCTTTATATATAAAATTATGCTTCAATCCTGCCCATCAAGACAAATTGTGTCATGCACACTAACATGTCCCAATAAGAGGTTGACACTTCTTTTAAACTTAAAAAGATACAAAATATGGGTCATACCCATTTTTTAGAGTTAAAGCTGACATATCTATTTTTTTCCCTCTCTTTGCTCCCATCTGTGTATCTTGTTTTATCTCCATCTTTCTTCGGCTCAAGATCCCTCTTGAAACTTTTCCAATCCCACTATGGCACCTCCTTACGGGTGGAGAGCAAATCGTTACAAGAAGCACACCTCTTCTAATCTTCTTACTGAGAGAACAGTCCTCTCCTAGACTTCTGCTGGATCACATCGATCCATACAATTGATTGTAGATACAAATTTGTTGCACAAAATATATCTCTCAAAGATTGATATGCAAATCAAATCTCACAACTAGAGTATAAATGAATACAAATAAAGTTCAATACTCTATGAATGATATATGTATGAAATGATGAATAAGATGAAGAACAAAATCTCTTTGATACTCAAGAAGGTTTCTCCATTTCTCTCTAATGCATCCCCACAATGTCCAAAACATTGTGTGTTTATAACCCCTTGAAAAATATAGCCTTTAGGGGTAAATTAATTTTCCAAATCTGAAATTTTAGTCCATCTAATCGGTCACTTGAGTTATCTGTTGGTCTAAAGTGATCGGATATATGTTATATCTGTTCGGGCAGTTGGAGCATCTGATCGGTTAAATTATAGAAGTGATCGGTAGGATCAGATCTTGTTTCATCACGCTTTCTAAAATTTGATCCATCTAATCGGTTACATAAAGCATCTGATCGCCCACTTGGACACATTTGATCGGTTACATTAGTGAATTGATCAGTCAATTGATAAACCATAAAAGATGCGAGTTCATTGGTTTTGACATCCTATCAATAGTATGACTGATCTGTTCAATCAAATGAAAGATAAATAAATTTTCTGGTTTAGTCATCTGATAGACAGCACGGGTTGTTACTTCTGCACACCTTATTTCCATTGAAAACATTTAAGTAAATAAGGAAGTACCCCCTATTTGGATTCAATAAAAAATACAAGAAAATCAAAATCTAACTAAATAAAAAAAATTCAGTTTTAGTACAAATTGGAGATCCTAAAAGTTTTGGTAAAACTTGATCCTCCATGTAGGCCTATATAGAATTGATGATGATAGGGAAAAATATAAACATACCCTACCCTCGATAAGATTGATTAGGATAATGAAATCAAATCTGACGTGGTTCAACAGGTAAGAATAATCCTACTATAACTGGAGGAGGTCAAAAGGATTAAATCATATCCTCGACAAATCTGGCAATAAATCTCCTATGATTTCGTACAAGCAGAAGATAAGATCGACCATCGACATCGGCGGAACGATTTTGATTCCAATCGACAGCCATAAATAGGGCACCAAGCCATTAAAGAAGGGACGAGGTAAAAAACTATTATTAATCTCTGCCTTCTTTTTAGACCTTCGTGACTAATTTGATCCTCGGAGAGCTCTTGGCAGGCACCACACCGGTGCCGTCAAGGTTCATCGATCTTCTCCTCTCTTCCTTGCAGGAAAATGGTATCGTATCGGACTGCGCGAATTTCAGCCTCAACAGTTGGCGCCGTTTGTGGGAACGACGATTCCCTTGAATCAATTAATTACTCATTGGGTATATACGTTTGCAGTCCGGTATAATTACCGAAGGAACACCGTCACAGGGATCTGGTCAAAGGGTAGAGTCGGGTGAAAACCTGGACGTCCCAAATGACCAGGCACGGCTTGCAGCGTTAGAACTGCAGGTTCAAACTCTGAGTCAGGGTATGAACCAGTTGATCCAGCAAAATGCAACGCTCTTGCAACACCTTGTTCCACCGGTTCAACAAAACTTTCTAGGACAAGATCTCTCAAGTCCAAATGGAGGTAATGGGAATCTTGAAGAGAAGGATAATCATCCCCCCCCCCCCCCCCCAAAATGAGACTGAAGTGGAACAAAGCCAGGTGGGAACCCGATATAGAGAGGTGGTTCACCCATCTCTCCCACGGAGTTCCCGACCTGCTGAAAGCATAGCCTTCTGTCTTAAGGAAAAGATAAAGAAAGTTACCCATCTCGACTTGCAGATCAAGGATCTCAAGGGGAAAATTGAAGATGTAATACAGGCTATGAAAGGGAAAGGTCCTGCCGCCATAGATGACCTGGTACAAAGGACCAACCTGCCTTTCAGCCCCGTCGTTATGAAATGTCCACTACCTAGCAAGTTCAGGATGCCCTCGTTCGAAAGCTTCGATGGGACCAAAGATCCCTTCGATCACCTGGAAACTTTTCAAGCTCTTATGCATTTACACGCTGTGCCAAATGAAATCATGTGCCGAGCTTTTCCCACTACACTTAAAGGATCAGTGAGAGTTTGGTTCAACAAGTTGAAGCCAGGAACCATCAACACCTTCGAAGAATTGAGTAAGCAGTTTATGAGCCACTTCATTGCAGGTTAGAGGCATAGGAGGCCGGCTACCTACCTGTTTAACGTGGAGCAACAAAAGGAAGAGTCGATTCAGGAATACATCACCCGATTCAACGCAGAGATGTTACAGGTAGAAGAGGCGGATGACAAGGTAGCTTTGACCGCTTTCATAGGAGGACTCCAAACCTCCAGAT